TTAGTAAAAGGCCGGGGGGTTCCGGTACTCGGTAGAGAGTACTGAGTCTTTCTTCACACAGAGCACAGTACTTTGATCAAGTCGTTCCTGAGAATTTAACTTCTCGAGTTGCTATTGTAAGTTTAGGAGAAACACATAGATTTAATAAATTAATTTTGTAAGCAGCTAATTTACTTATTTCAGTATTTTTAATTTTTTTAAACATTCTTTTTTTTGAGATCTTATATTTTATTTCTGTCGTGGAATTAGAACTACATAGTAAATTATGGGGTGACTGGAAAAAAAGTAAATAATCTTCTGATCGTTTTAAACCTTTAGGTTTATTATAGACAGTTACAAATAATGATAATTTTTACTTCCTATTTCCAAAAATACATGTCATATTGCTCTTTCTTGTATAATTGCATTAGTTGTTACCTTTTAAAAGTGACCTAATTTCACTTTAAAAGAATGTACAGATTGTTATGGTTAAAAATATATCTTAGAAACAAACAAAAAGTGAGCTATATTTAAAATTTTTAATTGCATAGTATCCAATATCTTAGCATTAACACTGACACTGGCTATTGGCAATTAATTCTCATATTTTAAAATCAGTGTAGATAAGCTTAATTTATTACTATTTTACCTGAGGCGTAAGCTTAGAAAAATATCTTGTGATGCTAATTGACCTAATCATATGATTTTTTTTTCTTTTGACCTATTCATATTGCAAAATACATGAATAAACATAAACCTCTAAAGAAACAAGGAACAAGTTTTAGTAAAATGAAAGAGTTTTGGGGTTGTAAGAAAGGAGACTCATAACCAGGGAGATACAGATTCAAACAACCTTGAATATGGGCTCTGAGGTCTTGTAATTTTCAGGCGGGTTTCAAAGGCAGAAACCACAAAGGGGTGAGGCTGGGTGGAGTACAGCAGTTGTTTTAGAACAATTATCCTTGGCTATCAGAATCAATAACAAGGGTTATGTCAGCCCGAGGTTGGACAGGTGGTCCCTGGGAAGATGTCCTGTAGAAGTAGTTTTTGTGTAAGGTTGCAGTGGTCTTTGTGCAAGGCCGTAGTTCAGAGAGAGTCCCCGTGACAGCTGTTGCTATCAGGCATACTCATGGAAGGACAGCCCCATCTATGGCCGGCCTTCCCCAGCTCTGTTTAGGCAGAGTTTAATACAGGTTGACACAAGTGACTTCATTTTAATTCTAACAACTTTCACAAAAGTTTCCTAATGGTGATACACACACACACACACACACACACACACACACACATATATATATATATAAACTGTTGAGATGGAGATGAAAGGAGTTCATTAAAAAGTCCTCTCAGAAGTAATACGTGAGGGTGAAGACAAAAACTTAGGGCTGGGGGAGGAGAAGTTAGACTGATACGTAGTCACAGCAAATGTTTACTCCATGGGGAGCTCTAAAGTTTGGAAGGAATTTCAGAGTGAGGGTGAGTGGGCTGGATGTCATAGTCCCCATCAGGCACTTACTAGATGTAAACTCCCCCCGAGAAAGACACTGGACCTTAGCTAAGGCTCTCTCAGCAGAAGCCGGTTTCCAGGCAGGGCTGACATGTGGACACATGCTAATAGTTTTACCACTCCCAGCAGTTAGAGGGATGGCTCCTTCTGTTTTCATCCTTTCCTCTAGGGACAAATGTGACTTCTCCTCCTTCATCCTTGCGGTTATTTGAATAGAAGGCCCTGGAGAATCAGCAGTTAGTGTAATGGCTATGTCGCTGGACTCCCACGTAGTCGACCATGGTTCGCGTCCTGGACGCGAGGCGCGTGTGCGTGCATGCCCAATATCCCGAGAGGAGAATGGAGGAGATGCGGTGTGACCATCCCCCCTGGGGGGGTGATTTCTTGCTTTGTGTCTCTATGTCTCTCTCTGTCTGGCGAGCGCACGCGCCTTATAGCGAAAAACTCTCCAAAAATAAATAAATAAATTAAATTAAATTAAATTTAAAAAAAGGCCCTGCACAGTTTTAAAGATCTCCCTGATGAAATGTCTTCTTGGCCAGGCTTCCCACCTCCTGTCCCTTCTCAACATCTCTCTATGAGTGTGCAAGGAACATAACCCCCACATCCTCTGCCTTCTAATAAGTGATGCAGCCACAGTCTTATGTCAGTATAAGACACAGAGGAGAGGAAGTGAGGAAGGGCCATGGGCGAGTGAAGGAGCATGTGTTACTGGGAAGTTCTCATAATTGTTGTATTCTCATGGTTCAAGGTGATTCTGGGAGATGAGTCAAGCAAAATAATAGAACACAGATTTCCAGTGGTCATACAGAGATGTATTGAGTTTTCTGTGGTCTCTTGTAAAAGGTTTATTTATAAAGTAGTCACATTCAATAGCCTGCCCGTGGTGACAGATGTGTTTAGTATGGGGGTTGTGCAACAGGGCGGCCACTAGCCTAGGGCTGTTGAGCACTCGCAATGTCATCATGTGATGGAGAAACTGAATTTTACACTATACTTAATTTTAACTCATATAATTAAATAGCCACATTTGGCTTGTGACTGCTCTTTGGAGAGTTTACCATTGATTTCTTGATTTCTGTGTCTCTGTCTCTCTGGTGAGCATACATGCCCAATAGCAAAAATCTCTCTCAAAAATTTTTTGAAATATAGAGTCCCTCCATCTGGAATTCAGCTATGTTTCATTAAATTTTTTTTTTTCATATTACATTAAGAACAAGGGATGCCTTACTCTGAGATAAGTGGGTTGGGGTGTCAAAGTTTTGGTAGGCTGAGAAGGACAGGAGCTGTGGGTAAGTCAGGGCTCCTGTTGCCAGAGGGTGAATGTGCTTACCAGACAGAGAGAAGAGTGAGAAAGTACCCGTCCATGGGGCCATGCCGTTTTCCACTGTCTGGGATTTGGGGCATGCACACACATGTCACTGCCATGTTTTTCAAGATGCCTGGTCCAGGACTCAAATAGCATGATCCAGTTCCATTAATCATATGATCATATTTATTCTAAAGCAGAGCAGTTTCTGTCGTTTTGCCTGTATTTGGTTTGAGGGTCTCATCTTCTTTTCAGACATACTAACTATAGAGATTTTTTGAGTAAATTCTTCTACGCATAAGAAATTCTGCTTTCATTTTTAAAGAAGATAAGATTTTCCACCATGACTACATTTTTGCAATCACTATTTCTTTTCTTAGACAAGTAGGCAAGTAGAAATTGAACAAAGTCTTTAACCCTGTGAGGATGATTTAAGGGAATCCAGGGCTCTTTGGGAGTATAAGGAGTAAACTAAACTAATGTGGGAGGGTTGTCTGGAAAGACCTCAGCAGTGACATTGAGCTGAAATTGAAGAGAAAGTAGAAGTTAGGGAAGGGCACTAGAAGTGTTTCTAGAAAGAAGAAACAGCATATTCCAAGATGGGGGCAGCATGGAGCTCTCAGGTAACTGAAGGAATCCAAGACTGGCTAGATCCTCGAGGTGGGAAGTCAGATTGTGCAGAAAAGAGGGTGGAGATTTAGGCAGACGGTTCGTACAGAGATTCATTGTTAAGTCTGGATCCTGAGTATTTTTTACAGATGGTGGAAAATCACTCCAGGGTTGAATTAGGGTATGTTATTCTCAGTTGTGACAGTATGCTTTACATATTTTGAATTTTGGTAGCTTTACTAGAGTCTTATTCTACTTCCTCTGTTTTCTTTCCCATGCTGGCCCACCCCATACTGCATGGAAATGTTATAGCCTTGTGGACAGAGGAACCCTGGATATAACCCTTGAAACGAGCCCACTGCAGTCCACACCCCACTCTGTTTCCTGTGCTCAGAACCCTGTCAGCTTCCAAATCAGCTCTCCAACCATACCCTGTGGTTTCATTTCACTCATTCTCGCTAAGTTTATGTCTGGAGAGAAACTTGTTTCCTGGGTGTTTTTTTTTATTATTATTTCTTCTATATATATATATA